AGGTTGTAACAAATTCGATGCAGATGGTACAGATGCCACTTGTACAGCACCAAGGGATTTCTTTCTGTACATAAACTCGCGATTGCTTTTTTCATTTTTTGTCTATGTCTCATGGAAACATAAAATGTGCATGCAAGGCTACAGCACCCCTCAGAACACTCTCTTCTATATTTTTATTGGTTCCATCACTTTCCTGCTCTGTGACTTAACTATTCAGGGTCTTAGTTTACTCATCTGTGAAATGGGGAAAAGAATTGTATTAGCATTAACAGACTTGCTAAGAAAATCAAATGTAAAGAAAAAAATATATATATATATATATTTTAGTCTACTCTGTTTGGGCTGCTATTATAAAATACCAATACCATAAACTAGGTAGCTCAGAAACAACGGAAATGCTTCTCATGGTTCTGGAAGTTGGGAACTCCAAAATCAAGGTGCCAGTTGATTCAGTGTCTGTGAGGACATGCTTACAGTGTCCTACATGGCAGAAGAGGCAAAGCTGCTTTCTGGAGCTTTCTTTATAAGGGCACCAATCCCATTCGTGAGAGCTTTGCCCTCATGACCTAATCACCTCTAAGCAGCCCTACCTTCTAACATGTTGGTGATCAGGTTTCAACATAGGAATTTGGAAGGACACAGGCATCAGACCATAGCAATATATAAACTGTAAGCATGGTGCCAGGCATGTAGCAGGAGCTCAGTAAATCAGTAAAGAGTAGCTGTAAGATTAGTGAGGGAATGAAACAAGAGATTGGGAGATTTTCATCTCGTGTGCTTCCTTGCTTTTGTCAGTTTAGGGAAAGTGTTATAAAATAGCATACATGTTGAAACTGAGAACTACTCCGAAAGGTTCTATTTGTAAAGTTATACAAGTATTAACGTCTGTACAGTTTATATTGGCAGATCTCCACTAGTTCAGAATTAACACCTGGTATTTAGTGGATTGAAAATAGGTTTTGCTGTCATTGTAGATATCCAGAATGAAAAAAAAGGGGGAAACATTTAAAAATTAAATGTCTTGGCTGGATCCGGTGGCTCATGCCTGTAATTCCAGCACTTTGGGAAGCTGAGGTGGATTGCTTGAGTCTAGGAGTTCAAGACCAGCCTGAGCAACATAGTGAAATTCTGTCTCTATTAAAAAAAATATATATATATATATATAAATTCTAAAAATTAAATGCCTTGTCTTATTTCATCTACTGATGTTGCTTATAAACAACAGAAATGCCTTTCTCATGGTTCTGGAAGTTGGGAATTCCAAGATCAAGGTGCCAGTTGATTCAGTGTCTGCTTGCAGTGTCCTCACATGACAAACGAGGCAAGGCTGCTCTCTGGAGCTTCCTTTATAAGGGCACTGATCCCACTAGACCTTAGGTTGGCTATATGTAAATACTTCTAAAAAAGTCTTTAATGAAGTTCAATTCCCATCTCTCCTATTGCTTATCCAGAGTCAATGTTTTTGTTGCTATTGTTAAACTTGAACCTTGCCCCATCTAATTGCAGCAGTGATACCTTGAGACCATCTAGCAGTACTCTAAGACGTAGTACTTTTTTTCTTGTCTGAGTCACAGTAGTAAGGAGATGAATGGAAAAAGGGAATCCTGCTGTTCAGCTGAACTTCACAGATCCAACTGGAACTAACTGGCTTATTTCTGGACAAAAATAGGTATAAATAAAGTTCAGCTAATCTGGGACTCAGTCACATACTGAAGAAACTAAATAGGCTAGTGAATCTTGCACAGTATATTAGAAGATGCGTGCCATTATGACTTCATCATGATTTGACTTTGAAAAAATTCACTGAAAATGACTTTGGAAAATTATTTACAGCATAAATGTGCAAATTTACATTACCTTCTAACAGGTTCCAGTGCTTTGCAGACAAGAAAGGGGAATTGGTTTTCTATTTTATATGTATAAATGAGTGAGACCAGTCCTAGGCAAGTGGCCTGTATTGTAATCTACTTTTTCTTATTCTTTTCACACCCTCTCCATATTGGGGGAATCTTCCTTGCTTTCTCCTAGTTGGGCACCAGGGCCCTTAGTCTTTTTTTACATTTTCATCTCTAAACTTGATTTCATACTTCTGATTTCCACTAAGGTGTAAGTGGATGATAATGGCTGAATATATATGCTGTCTCCAAATAATGTTTCCAGTTTCATGGGGGATCTATCTCAAGCGCTTAGAAGAAAGATCTGGGTTGGAATTTTCAATATCATTCAATTTGGTGCTTAGGAGGGTGGAATGTGGTGGAGGGTGTTCATGGTTATATTTGATCTTCTAACTGCTCTGAAACAAAAATCTTTAATAATAATGATAATAATCTGAAATAATAATGCTTTCTCTACTCTGTCTTCTCAGAGGCCTCTTCCAACTCCTTCCTGTGTAGTTCCTAGTGCTACAAAATAGACTTACAGTGAAAACAGTGTTCATGGATAAACTTGAGTGTATCAGGGTTTTCTCAAAAGGCAAATGTGTACAGTCCAGGAAACTTCCCTCAAGCAGATGCAATGACTCTTGTCATGTGAATTTCATTTTCTGATCAGTTTGTTTATTTTCAAATTCAGTCAAGTACCAGTATAAGCAAATAATACCAGTGTTGCCATGTATAAGCTGTCAATAACCTTGAATAAGGAACAACTAAAACAAAGGGGAGATTTTTATCACAACTTTTGCTCTCATGCTTTATTCTGTTAATATTTAACTTCTGCTGATTTTTTAAGGCTCTATCCATCTCTGCCACATCTATCCGAAACACATATCCACAAACACACATGTATGCACACTCCCATTAGGAGTTAGGGGCTAAAAAAATGCTTTGCTACCATCTTGGCAAAGATATAGTTGTCATTATCCCATTTGATCAGTTCTAAGGGGGACTCATTAAGTCTGAAATCCTGCAAAATACCAGACACTTTATCTCTAGAGTCTGTTGCATCTTGTTCACCCAGGCTTTGACAAATAAAAACAGAACTACTGTCAATGTATTCCTGGCAAACTTTGAATTTGATATTGTAGCATTCAGAAATATATTTGGATCATAATGTCACTTAACTCTTTAGTAATATTAGCATTACTCTTTTACTAAAAGTTTATCAATATCTCATTTTTAGATGTAATTGGGTTCTTCAATCATTTTAACTCTGAATGCAAAACATTTATAGATTAAATGAACAGTAGAGTTGTCAATCCCAGAATAAGCAGACTTGTGTAGGTTTTGACCCTTCAAACTTGAAAAAAAAATTGATGTTATATATTTTAATTCTAGACACAGACTTTTAGGTCTTCAAGAATATTTACAAAAACAACAAAAAAAAAAGAAAATTTATCTTGATGTGGCTCCCAGAAAATATGCAGATTAAAAGTGAAACAAATGTCTCTACCTATTGGGAAGGCAGACCCTTAAAAATCCTAGGCCCATTACCAATCACGTCCCATATGAAATGGTATATTTTAGTCTCATTGCCACATTTTGGGAAAAATGATATAATCTGTTCTCTTCAAGAGACTTCTCGATATCCTGGAACAAAATATTTTTTAGAAGGGGCATTTCCATTCCTAAGGTGAACATCTAGTTACCTACATTGTTGGCTGGCAAGTTAATAGATTGTGCCTGTGCTTGAGAATAATTCTAGGCTCAACACATTTTTTTTTTTTTTTTTGAGTTGGAGTCTCACTCTGTTGCTCAGACTGGAGTGCAGTGGTATACTCACGGCCACCGCAGCCTCGACCTGCTCGGCTCAGGTTATCCTTCTGCCTCAGCCTTCTAAGTAGCTGGAACTACAGGCATGTGCCACTACACCCTGCTAACTTTTTAAATTTTTGTAGAGATGAGATCTTACCAAGTTGCTTAGGCTGGTCTCAAACCCCTGGGCTCTGGCTGGCAGTCCTTTCACCTCGGCCTCCCAAAGTGCTAGGATTGCAGGTGTGAGCCATGACACTTGGCATAAGACCTCCTCTTTACAAAAAAAAAAAAAATTAGTTGGATATGGTGGTGTGCACCTGGAATCCCAGGTACTTGAGAGGTGGAGACAGGAGGATGACTTGAGCCCAAGAGTTCAAAGCTGCAGTGAGCTATGATTATGCCATTGTACTTCAGCCTGGGTAACAGAGTAAGGCCTTGTCTCTAAACAAACAAACAAACAAACAAACAAGCAAACAGTTAAAACAACAACTGATTGGTATCTTCACTAGGGATAGTAGCTTATCAGAATGATGGTTGAGATTTACAAAATGGAATGTTGTATTTACTTAACGTTCTTTGCTCAGAGTTGAGTAGTATCAGCAAGGCCAGAGGTCACATCTGGAAAAGTCACCTAAGGTCAATAAAAACCTATAGTCTCAAGCAGGTAAAGGTTCAAATCCATGATTATCTGAGAAGGGCAAGGTCAAGCGGCAGAAACCAGGAACTGAGACTGGGAGCAAAAGGCAGACCTGGACAGAAAGTTTGGGTAACATGAAGTTGGGATCCCCGGCAGTTGGGATCCAACGGACAGCAGAGGGGAGGAAGGAAAGCAGAGAGAAAGGCACTTCTGACAGTGCCCCAATTGAGTACAGCTAATAAACTATAAAGATGAAAGTGTGTTATAAAGTCTCCACCTCTTTATTTGCGCACTGTTGAGGACATTCTGTAGGTGACGGGCATTAACTGTAACTTATGCACATTATGCTTTCCGTAACTGGACTGAAAATATTGATATGTTCAGTTCAGAAGAGTGGGTCTGAGTATGCACTGTGCATTTCCTGCTGGGCGCTGCCCTCCCAGCTTGGCTCTCATTTCCCATTATTGCTTCACTCTGACTCACTGCTGGCCTGCCACATGTCATTAGGCGGCTCAGCTGCCTCTCTCATTTCTCCCAAAGGTATACATACAGAGGGTTGTGTCTTGCCTTTTACATTTTTCTCCTGAGGGCTGGAGGAAGTGGCCTTTGGATAGTTTTGTTTGTTGAGTTGGATACTTAGAGTGTCTTATAGTTTCACTTTTCTTTACTTGTAGATATTCGATCCTGATGACCTTTATTCAGGGGTCAATTTCTCCAAGGTTTTGAGTACTCTTTTAGCTGTCAACAAAGCAACAGAAGGTAAGCAGGGCTTGTGATTTATGAGTTCTGGGTGACATTTTTGGATCCATGTGTTTCTGATTACACTGGAAGCCAACTATGGTCAGAATTGTTCGACTGGCACAGATTTTCTTCATATTCCCCAAATAAACTCCGAGTGTCAAATGCTTTAATTTTTTTATAGCTTAAGATCTAAAATGCCTATTATGAATGTTATTCTAATGCCCCTAGTATAATGATAAAAAATGAAGAAACTATTTCATTCAATGCTCTCGAATAGCCGACTGAGCATAACAAGACAGAAAATAAAAAGGGAAAGACTAGTTCCTTTTTTTCATCAAGTTTACAAAATACAGCCATCACTTCCCTTTCCCCACTAGAGACATATTTTTCTCATTGCTTTTTGTATGTCTTTGTCCATGTAAAGAAACCTCTCAGTAACTTTGCACCAGAAATGAAACCTCAGGTTCATAGAGAGCAAAAATAATATCTTTTACCTAAATGTTTAATACCCATCACACTCGCAGCAGTAAATATAAATCCTAGTAAATGTGAAGAAAATGATGATAAACTTAGAGTGTAAATTAACTCCTTCTGTGATATAGTATTTTACCTCCAGCTGGACAGTAATCATAATTAAAATGCTTCGCACTCTTATCCTGGGTCTAGGTTGTCCTAAGAGCTCTAAGTGATCTCATTCAATCTTTGAAACAACCCTGGGGAATAGGTATTTGTTATTATGAAGTCCATATTACACATAAGGAAAGTCAGCCCACAGTTGCCCAACTAGAAGGGAAGTGGCTGAGCTGAGCTTCAAACCCACATTTGACTGACTCCAGAGCCCTTGTGCCCAAACATTGGTCTTACTGCTCCAACTGTTGGAGAGTTAACAGGCTGTGTGCCCAGTACTGCCAGGTGCTACAAAGGAAGTGGAAGCAATGGTCTCCGCCCTTGAAACAATTACTGTCTATTTAGGGAGACTCAACTTACCCACGTGAAACAATTAGAGAATAAGAACAGACAATATAATCAAGTGCCAAATAGGATGGAGCATCTAGGAAGCTAGCAAGTAATTATAGTTTTAGTCAAAAGAGTTGTATATAATAGCAATACATGTAAAAATACTTCTCTAAAGTTGTTCATTTGCTATTTGGAAAAAAATGCTTTTGAGCTATTGCAAGGCATATAGCAGAAAGTACAGCTAATTCAAGTAACTATATTTAACACACATGACAACTATCCAGTTCTAGGCAGGGAGGAGCGTGTAATTCTAACATTATGCCACACAAATTATACGTTCCTTTGCCAAACCCTTCTAGCAAGTTTTACAGTCTCTTCCCTTGCCACAGATATTTATAAAAATACAAGGAGGTGAAAGTTAAAACCCACAGCATCAAGGAAATTACTTGGATACTGAGCATGTCGCCTAGGAATGTTTGGGCTTTAGACTTTTGCAGTTTATATCTTTTAAAAATAAATGGAGAGGCAAAGAACCCTTATTTGAATTTGTCAAGAAGCCAGCTCCTCTCTTTTGTACACTCTCAGCATACTGAAAACATCCAATTCAGCTCTGGCCTGGTCGAATTTCACTAGGTTTCAAGAGAAGACTCCTGAGTTTGACTTAGAAAAATATCTTCTAGTATCAAGATTGCCTCTTTCCCAGACACATGTTCTCTCTCATATTATTCCCCCCCACACACACACATCAGGGGGATTTTACATTATATATGCCACACGTACTGTTACATGTGAGTAGGGAAAGAGCCGCTGAGTTATGGGCCAAAAAACAAAGAGAGAAATTTGAAATATTTCAAAGTAATAAGAGACACAAACAGCTGTTTGGTACCCAATATAGTTCTGCCTTGGATAACAGGACATACTGTTGCAACTGGTTCAGGAGGGAAGAGTTGTAGGGTTAAGAGAAAATGTGGTTCTGTCGCTGTTTTTCATTCTACTGGAGAGCAATGGCCAGTAAGGTTAAGAACAGGAGTTGGTCACCAAAAAGGGGGGGAGGTGAAATACACTTGGCATGTTCATAATGATAACTGCTAGAATTATGGCCAGGATGCCTTTGATAATGTCCCAAGAAAGATAATGTCATGTTGTAGATGTTGTTCTGACCTGAGTGGTTCCTTTATCATCCTTTTCCTCTTTTCACAGATCAGCTATCAGAAAGACCATGTGGACGCTCCTCTTCTCTTAGTGCTGCTAATAGTTCTCAGACAAACCCACAGGGAGCCGTTTCTAGCACAGCTCCAGGGCTGCAAAGGCAGTCAAAGGCAGTGGTAAGTATAGTCCCAATTCCCTTTGTCTGTTTTAAAATTAATAAAATTAGATCGATAGCCTACTTGCATCTCCATATGTGGTGAGACAGCCATCCTATTTGTTTTGGGCATCACCGTAAAAACTAATTATAAACTGAGCACCACTTTAGGATGGCCCGATGGAGCAAATCAAAGGCATGTGGGGTTGTGTCAGGAAATCAGGGTTGTGTCAGGAAATCAGGGTTGAAACCCCAGAGTTCTGTCTCCTTGCTAGAATTGGTCAAGTCACTTAACTAAGAATGCCATGCAAATGTAAGTCGTTAAGTCTACTTCCTGATGGCAGTTTGCTGTTATTTTCTCTACTCCTTGTCTTTATTAGGAGAACTAAATAGCTCCTGGCACAGGGTAGGCAATCAATATCCATCACTACCCTCATAATTATTGTCATCTTTATTTTTCTCTTCGCATTTCTATTGAGCAAGACCTGATTTAGAATATCAGCCTATGATTAATTTCTATATTGGGATCTCCCAGTTGTCTTTGCATTTGTTCTTATTGAGAACTTTTATTTGAGAGGAAACACCTCATCTTCTACTCTTTGAGTGAAACTTTTATATTCATCAAAAGCCACCCACTTGCAGTAAAGCCATCATGACTTATTACTTCCAAAGCACTTAAATGAATGGTTCTTAACGTTTTTGAGATCACAGATCCCTTTGAGAGGCTGATAAGCACTACAGCTCTCTCAAATTGTTTACAGAAGCCCATGTGTATAAACTCATTTGGGTAAATACCTTTTGTGTTTATCAGATTCCCAAAGGAGTTTGTGTCCCTCAGAAAGCCCAATCATATATGATAGGTTAACAACTTCTGATTTAGCTAACTATGGTGTATTTGATCTTTGCATATGAATAAGTCTTAGCCAGATAAGGATATTCTTAATAGGCAGATGTTATGAGAGTGGGTTGGTACATCTTATGATTATGTGTATCATATAATTATGTGGACTATGTTTGCCTGTTATGTAGAGGCAGGGTGAAATAGTTTATCACTCTACTTTGTTACCTGGCTCAAATAGGCATCTTTAGAAAATTGGTAGCGGGGGAGAAAAGTGAAAGCTATGACCTCCTCCAAAATAGACATTCTCACAAAAGTAAAAGTTTGCGTGCAATTTTGAGGGATTTATTAATCTCCCTGTTGCCCACTCATGGACTACTAAGTTAAAAACTCAAGGCTTAGATAGACTTAGGGTTTAATCCTTGGTTACCCCACTTTACTTGCCTAAATCCATATCATTTCTACCCCAGCCTCACTTAGATGAGCGCTCAGTCTGGCATGGCTTTTGTTTTTCTAGGAGATGACAGAAAATGGAAGTCACCAGTTGATAGTAAAAGCAAGATTCAACTTTAAGCAGACTAATGAGGATGAACTGTCAGTCTGTAAAGGGGACATCATTTACGTCACTCGAGTTGAAGAAGGAGGCTGGTGGGAAGGCACATTAAATGGGAGAACAGGCTGGTTCCCTAGTAATTATGTCCGAGAAATTAAATCCAGTGGTAAGTGAAGTTTTTGAAAGCCTTTTTGAATGTGACTCTTATACTTAGTATTCTTACTGAAAATCTTGTAGTTTTAATTGGTTAACCGAAACTGTTTATACTTGTATGTGTATGCCAAAAATAAGATTAGAACAGAGCTGGAAAAAATCTGTGACTAGATATTTTGAAACAAAGTTGTATTTAGATTGCATCAAGGCAGCAGAAAACTAAAAAAGCAAAGGAATTCAAAGCTCTGACAACTGTTCCACCTTAACTATATCTCTTTATGTCTACTAATTCTAGCCCATGTAATATAGTACATAGTTCTTCCTGCTACTCTGAGACTCACCATGGCAGAATACAATAATAAGAGAGGCCATGTGCTAACTTCATTTTTTTTAGTTAGCCCTAAGCCCTTTAAGTAGACCTAAGACTAAATGCCTCAGTGATGTGTTTGAGAGAAAATAATCGTAGGGTTGCAGGAAGCTGTCTGGCTGCTTTGATTCTGAACAAGAGTGCCCTTAACTGCTAACCTTTGTTCATAGCAATATCCAGACTTTAATTGCTCTTCAGTAGGCTTGCTGAGAGATTTTTTGGGGGGAGAGGGAAGTGGGTAACTTACTTGCCCCTTTATATTTGAGAAGGTAGACCCTGCTTATATATGACAAAAAAACCCAAAACCTTGTACATAAAAACGTGTCACAATACAGATAAATCACTGTTCAGTTATTCACGTTACATCTTTTCACTTTTCAAAAATATTTACAAAAGGGCTCCTTTAAATGTTTAGCCCCTTGGCACATTATTTTTTTGTGGGTATCTTTATTGCATTTTTAATGCCTCAAAATTTATACTGCTAATTAATTAAGTTGTAGGCTTATTGTAAATAAAGTAAAGCATTATAAAAATATACAGTTGACCCTTGAGAATGGGGGTATTAAGGGCACCAAGCCCCCAGGCATTTGAAATCCATGTATAACTTTTGACTCCTTAAAATTTAACTACTGTTGACCAGAGTCTTTTTTTTTAAGTTGGAGACTCACTCTGTCACCCAGGCTGAAATGCAGTGGCATGCTCATGCCTGCTGCAACTTTGAATTGCTGGGCTTAGGTGATCCTTCCTCCTTAACCTTCCAAGTATAATTACTGGAGCTACAGATATGTACCACCATGCCTGGCTAATTTTTTTATTTATTTATTGTAGACATGAGGTCTCACCATATTGTCCAGGCTGCTCTCAAACCCCTGGGCTCAGGCAATCCTCTTGCCTCGACCTCCCAAAGTATTGGGATTACAGACGTGAGCCATCACACCCAGCATTGACTGGAAGTTTTACTGATACCATCAACAGCTGATCAACACATATTTTTATGTTGTATGTATTATATACTGTATTCTCTAATAAAGTAAGCTAGAGGAAAGAAAATGCTATTAAAAAGATTATAATATATTCACTCTTCATTAAGTGGACATGGATTATCATTAGATCTTCATCCTCTAAGTTCAAATTCATGCTGTTCAAGGGCCAATTGTATAATGTAGATAATAAAAGTTCCTTTTCTCTTCACAACCCCCCAGACAACCACTGTTAGGAACTTTTCCCTAAAGCAATTAAGATAAAATTTAGTTTGCATACATTTCTGTGTCCTGTGTGGGGTCAAAGTGGCATCTCCTTTAATGAAATGTGTATATTAATGGATTTATAATTATATATGTATGTGGAGACTTCTTAACATTTTTATTTACTGGGAATTGAGAATTTTCTATGGAGCCTTGAAGTATCTAAATAGGCCTTGTCTGAAATTTCCTTTGTTTTGATGATTTTCCCAGATGCTTTTTACTTCTTGCTACATCTTTCAATTGATATAATTTGGTTGTTAAAGTTCCTAAATGGTTTTTCAGATTCACTCTAACATTGATGCCTGATTCCATGTCAAAATCCCTAAATGATTTTCCAGATTCACTCTAATATTGATGCCTGATTCCGTGTCTGTCTGCAAAACTAAAAGAAACAGCCCTTGCTGCCTTGTCTGGAAATCTCAAGCACACCCTCACTTTGACAGCCCTTATTATAATGTCCCTCCCTGTGATGCCTTGTAGCATAGTCTGGCCACTCCCTAATGGACTGCCCCAGGTTGTTTGTCCTGGTCTTGGAGTCCTTCCCTTTAAATTTCTTCTATACTGTCTTTGGTTTAGGACTCAGTTTAGGACTTATATGGCAAGCCCTAGATCTGATTTGAGCACTTAGGGAACCCCTAAGCGTCTAACCCAACTGTCAAGGATAGGTCTGGGTTGCCTGGACCTTGATGCCTGCTAGTCAGGGAAGGCCTGGAACTCTCATTGTATGGAACAACATCTCACATTTAGCTTATTGCAGTAACTTCCTAACTGGCATTTCTGCTCCTGTCCTTGTGACTCCTATCATCTAATCTAAACTTAGTAGCCAGAATGATTCTTTCAAAATAAAACTTGGATCATAGTTCCCCATATCAAAAAGAGTAAAGGCCAAGGTCATCACAATAGCCTACAAGGTTCTTTAGGACTTGGCCTCCTGATTTCCCTCTGGCCTTCTCTCTGACTTCTCTCCCCCTCACTCATTCTACTTCTGCCACACTGACTTGTTGGTTGCCTATGCCAAATAAGCTACTGTCTCACTTGCTGTCCCTCTGTCTGGAACATTCTTTCCAGCTATCAGCCTGGTTGGCTCACTCACCCCCTTCAGATCCGCTTACTTGTCTGCTTCACAGAAGGGCCTCCTCTGGTCACCTAGAAGAAAATGGAACCCTATTCCCACTGCCTCTATTCCCCTTCCTTGCTTTATTTTAATGCTTATCATTTCTCTCCATCTAACATACTATATATTGATTTATTTATTTCATTATTGTCTATGTTTTACCATTAAACTATAAGTACTACAAAGGCAGAATTTTTTTTCTGTTTTGTTTATGCTCAGTAAATATGAAATGAATGAATATTGTGAGGTAGTTAATTAAATTCTGTTCAACTTGTTTGTTGAATACCTCGTAGGCACTCGGGGGATTTATAACAATCAATATCTCATGAACTCTGTTCCCCAGGACCTTACAGTCTAGTGGTCAACACAGGTTTATACACAGCTGACTGTAACAGGATAGAACAGAGTAAGTAACACAAAGGACTAAGTAAGATGCTGTTGGAGCAATGAAGCAACAATTTGATTAACAATAGCCTAAGGAGAGGAAAAACACCTGAATTGGGTCTTGAAGGATGGAAGAAACTTCTGACTGGTAGAAGAAGTTTGGAGGATTTTGTAAGTTAAAGCATGGAAGTAGAAAATCATAGAGTGGGTAGTGGAGTGATTTGGGTTGAGAATCAGGTGTATAAAGAGACCTTGGGCACCTGAGACCTTGAGCTGGAGCTACATTAGGAGTGTCAATGTCAAGTTTTAATCAAGGGATAATGTGGTTTAGGAAGATCCTTCTAGAAGTAGTATGGGGGATGGACTGCAGGGAAGTGGTGTGGACAACTAACAAGGATGTGGGGAAACTAGTAGAGGCTTACTGCTGAAGTCTAGGCAATCTGGATAGTGGTGTGAACTACTCTGGTGATAATGGGAAGGGAGAAAAGTGGGTGGATGCCGCAAGAGCTGTTGACATAAAATTTGTTGAAGAAAAGAAATTGTTGATAATTAGTTATGAGGATAAGGGAAGAAGTGAGGATAGCTCCAAATCTAAGGTCCAGCTTGATGGTGAGCTCCTTATGGGCATGCATTGTTGCCTACCTAGCCAGCCAGCAAAGTTTGATTTATCTTATTTTCTTTTATTTCCTTCCTTCCTTCCTTCCTTCCTTCCTTCCTTCCTTCCTTCCTTCCT